CGGGACGTATATGAGGTCATGTACAAAGCTCGGCTGGAGGCCTCGCTGCCTTTGGAAGGCTTGGGAATTTGTGGGGAAAAAGGAGTTCTCATATGATCAAAAGTACCTAGCCTGCTTTCTTGAGGACGTACATCAGTTCCTGTTGCGGCTCTTTGCTGCCCCACGTGCCTCTTGGCCACTTTGAGGCTTGTGCTGCCTCTTCCAGGGCCTGCTGACCCCGACCAGCTTGCAGGGGTGTCCGGGCCGCTGCCCTGATCAGGAGCCTGCAAGGGCCCAGGGTGGGGTGGGCTCTCGGGTCTAAGGCTCCCACTGTGCTGAGGAAGCTTTTCCACAGCCTTTTCCTTTATTTCTTGCTGCCTGTGCACGCCTTACGGGCCGGCGGTGCCCGGCGCAGAGGTGTCTGAGCAGGCTGCGCTGGGCTCCCTGCGCGGGCTGGGCAGCCAGCGCTGCTGTTGCGCCACGGAGCAGCGGAGAGCCCCAGCGCCGCCGCTGCCGGCCATGAGGCCCATCTTGCTCCTGGGCTCCCTGCCCTTTTCGCTGTTCGCAGGGCTTGATGTCGAATTGCTCCCTACGATGAGCAGCACAATCAGACTCCCATCTGGCTTAGTCAGTCAGACATAACACTTTCCCTTCAGTCACAAACATGCCACCCTTGCTATTTCTTGACCTGCTTAAACACATACTCCATTTGCCCTCCCCCTGCCCTTCCCCCCTGCACCAGAGGAGATATTTACATTTAGTACCAGAAACTGCAGCGCAGCCTCGCAAGCCTGTCACAATCTGATCGCATAAATCCCCGTCCCCAGCGAAGCACAGATGCTGCAAGCACAGCTGGTGCCGCAACCTTTAGATCTCCCAGTGCGTGACATGACGGACAGCGGACAAGCCAACGACCTGTTTTTCCTGGAGGGCGCCCGTCTCCCCTTTCCTTCGGCGTGCTCACGCCCTGGGCCCCGTCAACAGCGGTGGCGGCAGCCGTTCCGTCTACAGGAACATTTTTCTTTTTCCTCCCCCACTTTGAAGTCAGCTGCAGGCTGCTCTCTGCATTCGCTGGAGAGACGCCCCATCGCAGGGCTGCGGCGTCTTCCGGCCCGGCAAGGACTGCGGCCCGTCAAACAGCGGGAACCCTTGAAGGAAAGAAAGGGAGAACAATTTTTTTTCGGTTGTTACAGCCCTGTCCCATTCCCCCCCTAACCCGCTCATGTCCTGGTCTTACGAATGCATGTTTGTTTAGCATTCAAGCCACGGGGAAGCAATAGAAAGATACAGATTGATGTTTATGTATATTTAGATGTTTTTGTGTCTGATATATATGCATACCCTGAATTGGGTTTTGATATATATATGCAAGCACACTGGTTTTATTAAAAGTCAAGAGGAAAATTCTCACAGCTTTAATTGAAGCTACAACTTCCCCTCTGACATTAAAAAGCAGCTCAGTAACGTTTTAGCTGTCAGAGATTCTCCTGATAAAATCAGGAGCCCTGGGAGGGAGACGCCAACATCCTCTACTGGTGGGATCCTGGCAGAGGCCCCTGGCTCTTTTGCTGCAGAAAGGACAAGATTCTGTTTTAGTCTGTGCAGGAAAATCCTAAATTAAATTGCCCCCTTCATCCATTCAGATGGTAGGGAGTACTCTACCAATTAAAACTCCTTCAGCATTAAATTGCCCTGCATGAGTCACTGGAGATTGTACTGACTGCTTAGTGAAACAGCAGAATTTCTGAGCTACAAACACCCTTCAATTTTTCTTGAGAGACAGACAGACCCTCAAACTGACATGATTCGGGAAAATAGATATCTTTTTGTCTGCACTGCTGCTGGCAATTCCCAATTAAACAGGAAAAGCCTCCCCCTTCAATGAATGCAGTGACACATCAGAAGAGGAGCTGCTGTACATACCCTAATGGCTCTTGCACACTCGGGCGCTCTCTCACGTAAAGGCTCTTAAACCAGTATGGTACCATAGGGCAGCATTCATTAATGCACTGAATTCTTTAGTGCAGCATTTGAGGGAAGGATGGTGCATATTAAAATAAATCTGAGCACTGTAGTTTATTTATTTCAAGTTCCACTCACCTTGAGGTTATGCAGTAAGGTCAAATACATTTAGCAGCACGTTCTTGATCTGCAGTTAGTCCCTTCCACTCTGGAGCCTTCATGAGGAACCAAGTGCATTGGAGATAAATTTTCCATTTACAATTACATTGGTAATTTCAACAGTTAATCAGTTTTCCCTTTTGTATTTACATTGCTTTCCTACCATGGTAATTAAAAAAGTGTTAGAGAGCACTAGGATGATGGCCAAGTAATATCATGTTAGTGCCTTTATCAAACTTCGGATCTCTTGGAAGATGGACTATGTTTCATACCATTTCCTTTCCGTAAAGAGATATTAATAGGAATTAACTGTATTAACAATCCCTTTCATGGCAGTTCTGCATTTCTGCCTGTCATTTTTCCTGGGACTGGTGTTGGATTAATCAGGCCGTGGGTATCTGGGTCTTCTCACTGATCACATTTAGATGTTAGCGGAAACTTCATCACCAGACCAAAGATTGGTTGGGAGTGAGATGCATTGGTGTGGGGAACACTTTGGCCATTTGCTTCTAGATAACGGGGTATGATTTATTTAGCCTTAGATTGAAAAATTACGGGAGGGATCAGGAGTGTTTTAAGTCTGACAGTTCTGCCTTTACCTCACTGCACAGCTATGTGTAGTTTGTACCCAGTGTCTATGAATAGCTTAATATTAATTTATAGCAAAGATGCTAACAACCTTTTGTATTTTTTGCTAATGTTTTTATTTGAGAGATTAAAAAAAACAAACAACAAAACTCTCAACATAAAGAAGCAGAAGAGCTACTGATGAGGAATGGTTTGGGTTTGCCACTCAGCAGTGGCAAAGTCTGCACACAAGACAGCTGCAGAGGTGCAGATGCAGCAGAGTTACTCAGAGACTGAATGTGATACAAGAAACAACAAGCCCAAGGATCAGAAATAACGCCTGTAAAACCCTAGCAAGTCCCCATTGGAGTCTTACACATATGCAAAAGCAGTGCTATAGCCTCATCCCACATTATGGACGGGAGCTGTACTTAAAATTTGTCGCTCAGCAAACACTGCGTAGGAACCGGGCCGAGTTACAACACGTTGCTACCGAGCACTTGTCCGAGGATGGTGCATTTGGCTTCACAGCCAGGTATGTCCCTCTGAAGTGCTGGGATCAGTGGATTCCCTTTTAAGGCAGGGGGTACCATGGGAAAAAAGAGGACCACAACTTAGTTTGTAAGTACTAAGAAAAGGCTGATTTAAAAAAGTCCAAAAGGGTTCTGTCCTTTAAGTATTTCAAAGCCATAGGAACAGTAATATTATATATATATGTATATATATATATATAATGTACATAACATTACATGTAGTCTCTGCAGGTAAATGTTAACCAATTTAGCGTGGAAATCTGGCAACAAACAACAACTTTGCCACATAAATTCATGCTTCAAGGAAGGTTAAGTTTGTGGGATCCTTCTTTGAAAGATGGTTTCAGTCAATGTTTTGTATAGAAAATATGAAAACAACTATGACAACTCATTCTCTCAATCACCATTCATTACTGTGTTAGACTTCAGAAACTGAAAGAGGTCCTCTTTATAAAAGGTGAGAATTTTCAGAAAATGAATTAACCACCTACGTGTTAAATGATTAGAAATAAGTTTTCAGTGTCGGAAGGTCTTACTTGGCTACAACACTTTAAAGCAGTAACAACAATAAAAGGCAAATAAACCATTCTCCTGTAACACTTGTAAATGCAAAAGTATTCACATTAAAAGCAAGGTAACTCTTAAAAGAATAAATTGCTCTTTAGAACAGAGAAATGGGAGACAATATATGCTTTCACCCATTGTCATTCAAGTTCAACTCCAGCTGTTGGAAAACATAATGGCTTCATAATTTGGAAAACGATGCCCCATAGGTACCTGGTCTGTGTACTCCGATTAAGTATGGTGCCTAAAATGGCAAGATACCCCTGCAGGTAAGGTTTTCATCTCTTCTCCACCATTACCTCTACCATTTAAACAAAAGAACAACTATCCAAATGTAAAATGCTCTTTTTTTAATTACTAAATTAGGAAAGTTAAACAGTTTTAAAATGTAAACTTGCAAATAAACCATAACAAAATGTAATTAAGACTTTAAAATTTGCAACTCAGTATTAAAAACTCAATAGAAAGGAAATTTTTTTTTTTGGTTAAACGTAAGTAATTCAAGGCTGGTACAGACAACTGAAAAGGTAATACTTTGTTCTGTGCATCCCCCATGAAATGTAAAGAAGTGCATAGTAATTCCACTGGAGAACTTGCAGACATAGAGAAAGTAATTTCATTAGCAGTACAGGACATTTAACACACTTATTTTACAATGGAAAATGTTACACATAAAACAGAAAAATCCTAGTTGCATGATCAACAGTTTAGCAGGTGGACATGGCTAAAATGCTATAATTTTAAGACCATTTGAATGTGGTTACGCTGTTTAATAAATCTTTTTGAAACATTTCAGTATACATGTTCGGATACAAGAAGTCCTTGCGATTTCAATTTTCCAGTTCAAACGGTGATGGTGTAGTTTTCTTGCTTTAAATATGTTCATTTTAATTTCAAGAACAAATCATCACACACTTGTCAAACATTGGAAACATTACTGTAAATACAGCACATGATTCCTGAAAGAGCAAAGTTACAACGATCTACAGGTACATAGTCATAAACAAAAAGTGCAATCCAATTTAAAAAAATCATGCTTGGCAAAAGCCAAAAATTAGATCACTGGCTTTCAGAATCCCACCAGTGTTTTCATGTCTGCAGTAAAATTATCACTTTCTGGGTACTGCTGCATCAGGATTCATTCCATTCAAAATGAATTTCCTCTGCAATAGCACCCATATACTGTATGTACAGGTATGTATATATATTATATATATTTTATATATAAAAAAGCAAAAAACCAAACACCTGTCCTGATTTTCTTTTTTTTATTATTTGTTAAAACATGAAAAAAAATGTTTTAGACAAAGAGGCCACTTCTGGAAAATAACACTTTTAGTCGAATCAGGAGAAGACTAGTTAAAATCACATAGGTTTCGCGTTTTAAAAAAAGGAAAGCACTAGGATCCGTTATTGGCACTGAGTTACTATTTACAATGAACAGAGGTTTTGCAGTTTACATAACATCGATACAATGCAGTTTAGGAGTCTCTGATTAAGAAAAACCGAGTGTTTTTCCCCCTTTCGTTGCGGACATTCAGGCTGTTAGGACGAGTGGTCACGGGCAAGGGCTGCGGCGGTTCGCTACCACGGCCCCACGCGCTGCGGTGCCGCGAGACGCTGCGCTCCGGAGACGCCGGTCGCCGAGCGGGAGCCGAAGGGCAGGCGGGACAGGGCTGGGAAGCGCCCGGTGGATCACGACGGCGACGACGTGTGCGGAGCGGGGCTCTACAGGTTGTCGCCGGGCTGGTACTGGGGTTCTGTTGCAGTGAAGTAGTCTTCGAGGAAGCCCTGCAAATATTCGAATGTGGGACGCTCCTCTGGGTCTTTTTTCCAGCAGTGGATCATAAGCTCGTGCAAGGAGATGGGACAGTCTTGAGGACATGGCATCCTGTAGCCACGCTCTACTTGCTCCAAAACTTCACGGTTATTCATGCCTGGGAAGGAACAGACAAATCCACGCTGTTAAGTTACAGAAAACCAACCCAAGTCCGGATGTATAACTAGATGTACAATGCATACAATTTTCTCAAGTGTACTCATTTCTTTTGGTTAAGACAAGCAAAACAAAACCACATCAGATTCTTATTTCAACTCTCCACCTATTGCAAGATAACCTGGCTTAATTTTCTTTTTCAGCAGTGGGTTTTAAAAAACAGTGATGAGTAAAATGTTGCTCCCGTGGTTAGTTACCCTTTTAGCTTAGTCACAGCGAGTCCTCATGTCCTGGCTGTGTTTAATTCTTAAAGGTGCTTTGAAAGAGGCACCTGCAACATACAGCCTTTGTTGTCCCTCCATATCCTCATCTCATGCTATCGTTATGGAACTTTTCCTGGTTAAAAGCAATCTCCTTTGCTGAAATCCGGTCACCATGTCTCTGTCAGGATCACTTTCCTCGCCTGTGGCTTAGCCATCCCTCCGATGTGCTCGCTACTTGCTCCCCCTTGTCTGCTGTGTGAAATACAAGCTGCTCCTCTTCAGTTTCAAAGCCTCTCACAAGCTGCTCTGCTTCTCTCTCGGTCACGTCCCGGTGGGGTCACAACTGCTACCTGCCATCCGACCTCGGCCCTTCAAACGAGCGCCGTGGGCTGCTCCTTACTCCTGCTGTAGTGCACGGGGGCAGCTCCCCCAGCTAGTGCCTCATCCTCCTTTGATCCTCTCCTTGCCATCTCCTTTTGCAGTGATAATTTCAAAAACAAAGGTTTGTTTCCCGATTTACGGTATTCCTGATGCTGCAGACCAAGCACAGGTTTCTTGCCACCTGCATCCACCCACTGCATCTTTTGTCTTAGATGCTTATTAGTAGGAACAAATGTGTTGAATGGCACCTAAAGGGGCCCATGAGGAAGACTCCACAGAAGGATGAAAACAGAGTAAAAATGTTCTTCTGTTGGCATCGCACCCTGCCTAGAGTGGAAGTTCTTCTGTCTTAGCAGCTCCAGCAGACAGAGGGTGCAGGCTCAGAGCAGCAAAGTGGTGCTCCTCAAGAGCCAAAAAGAAACTTGACAAACATTTCACTTTTTCTTTTTAAATTGCAAAAGATCATAATGGTCTGTGAGGCATCATCATCCAAAGGCAGTATCAACCCAACTCTCCTGGTTTTGTTGCTTTTAGAATACTACAAGGAAAGATGGGTATTTTGTCAGTCATAATCTTTTTTTTTTTAATTTGCTTTTTGAATTAGCTCCAGTTTCGGAGTAAAAACTTTTGTGCTTTCCCTTCCTTACATAGTGAAGCCTATCAAAGTGAATGTTACCAATAACTCGTATATACCTAAATCACACACACTCCAGTACGGGCAAACTGCATTCCTTATTTCATTTTGGCAGCAGTCCTTTAAATACAACAGGAGCAGAAAAGCTCCTTCCCAACTGACCTGTTATTCTAAAATATCAAATATTTGGTATTTTTATCCAGTGCATTACTTAGTGTTGCAAAGCATACTCTGAAATTTGATGAAGAACTACATGCTGAAGAAAAACCCGGAGGAGATAAGGGGGGAGGGAAAAGGCAAACAGCTCTTCACTTTCTTTTTCTTTGAAAAAAGTAGAAAAGAGAACACAAAAGAGATGGAGTTGACTGAAGACAGCAATTTCTGTCTCTGGAAAATCAGTGAAGCTAGGTCCTGCAGTATTATCCCTCTTTTTCTTTCTCCTTTTCCTTCCTCTAAATAAATCCCAGACAAGAAACTAAATCAAGTGACTTTCACGTTTTTTATTGGAATCAATTTTTCCACTGAAAGCGGTAGAAGCCTGGATTCTCCAAAGATATTCTGTTGGTTTTAAAATGTGTTACTAGCTGAAAAAAAAAGAGTTTTGAATATATTTTTTTTCAAAATCTTAGTCAGACTTGCTAAAACAGCAGTATTTTAGGGATATGATCTTTTACTTCTTACAGGATCCATTTATGTTTACAAACCTATTATCTAGATTCACTTATCCTACATATTTCAGTGTTTCTCTTTTGATAGCAAGAGCCTGTTGTATCTGCACTTCTAACACCACAGAGAGAATATTTGAGCAGTTAGTAGAACTATCCTCTCCTAATGAATTCCCAAGAGTTTCAAATCTTTTAGTAAATAATAAATGAAATTCTGATTGCAGTACACTTCTAGACCCCTTAAAAGTTTATTTTATGAAACCTTAGATCTGTGGGATTAACTACTCAGCAACGTTCTCCTGCAGACTACAGCTATTTCACCTTCTTGAAAACCTGTTTGTGTTCACGATGTTTCTAGAACCAGCATTTGGAACAGAAAGAAAATATGCAATTTCCAAAAGGCAGCTTTTCTATTAGCTCCTCATTCTCCAAGAACAGCAAAAACTAATACTAAACTGCCCATACAGACTGGGGACAGAAATACAATACTGCTTGCTTTTTTTTTTTTTTTCCTAGAAAAGCTTCAATAGTAAGACATGTAAGCTTATATTTTATATGAATTACTTTGGGCAACCCAAACCCAGTGAGGGCAGTGATGGTTTTAAGTCGCTTTATTCTGTTTTCCTTCTTTTGGACTCAGAGTTATGTTTCAGGAGCCACCCCCTGCTCCCAGTCCAATGACCAAGCTACACAGATACAAACACTTAAAATAGGACCCTTGCAACCACAGTGTGTCTGCTGTGATTCAGACACTAAAGGTTCTCCAGGGACCCAAGGCTGGGCCTCTGCTCCTGTTGAAAGGCTCCTCAGGAGTATCTGCAGTGGGCAGCCTGGCACTTCTCTAATGCAGCTGAGAGGGTAAAACTGTTTGGCTCTCCAGAGCGGCTGGATCACATTGACACTGACAGCATGCCCTCAAAGACAGAGGTACAATAGAGACCACAGACTGATTTGTGAGTTTTGGTTAGTTTGATACAGAAACGGAATTCCTAGTATGTGTGGGTAACCCAAAAGAAAAGCCAGAAGCAAGGGAAGAGGGATGGGATATGGGACTCAGACAGGGCCAGGATTCCACACGCAGGAACAACAGTTCCTATAATGGGAAAGCTACTCTGAAAAGCAGAAAAACTTCGGGTCATAATGCTGATTGCTACAGCAAATAAGATGAACATTATTATTCCTATGGAAAAGCAGTAGTAAGTCATATAATTTTATTTAATAATTAAGAGTTAAAATCCCCCAGGAACACCTACAAGACTAGGTTATCGAAGTACCACTTGACAAGTATAATGGATGTGACTTTGAGCTGCAGCATTTCTGAGCGGAGCCCTCCTGTCTAGCAAGGGGCACAGCTGCGCGTGGCGGTGCTAGGCGCTAAGCGCAGACCCCTCTCCCCGGGCTGCGTGCAGCCCACACTGACGGCGCGCGCGGGTGGCCGCGAGCCGGGCACCCGAGCTCACCCCCACGCTCCCCAGAGCCTGCACAGGCCCTTGAGCCCGAGCCCCGAGCCCGGCCTGGCTGGGGCTGGCAGCACCGTGCCTGGCACCGCAGGGCTGTCACGCCAGGCTTCCCATGTCAATGCTCTCAATGTGACAAGCGCAGCAGAGTGCAAAGGGGCGAGTCAAGGGTGCCGCTTTAATGAGGCTGAGGTTTGTGTCTGTCCAAAAGGCAACATGTTGAAAACAACAATCTGGGCTACTGCCAGAGAAATGCAGCCTCCTACTCCTAAACACCATTTAAAAAAATACTAAGCCCCAAGAGGCATTTGTGAAAAGGGAAAGAAACTGAAAAAGGTTGACTATGCAGATTATTTTTTTAACTTGGCTCCTCTTCTGCCCATATCCGGTTTTTGTTTCCCCAGTGTGACAGTGTGAACCTCAACACCCCAAAAGACTGTGAAAGTTGCTTATTTCAATCAACTGTCTTGTGGGAAGAAAGGAAAGCATTAGGGAATGCTAGGGGAAGCATTAATAAATTAGTTATCACAGCAGTCCATTAACTGGGTATTATAGCAGCTTCTTATTCGTTTCAACCCTTTCCTGAGCTTGCAAATCCCCTTGCCGCGGGTGGCAGAGAGGGCTGGCAGTGCCCGTGAAGTGCAAAGTCTCACCTCTCGCTTGCCTGTGGCCACTCAGGTGAGGAGGGCAGGGTCCTGCTCTTCGGGGTGGCTCACCTCTCATTTCTCACCTCACACAACATGGCGCAAAGGCAGGAAAGGCCCTTCCCCTGTGCTGATGTCTGAGCCCTTCTCCTAGCCGCAGACAGCGATCAAAATTCATGGAACTTTATCCTTCCAGGATCCTTCCCTCCATGGTGTGAAGTAGGACATGGATGGTCCTTTCGAGGTCAGGCAGACACCATGTCCTCTCTGAGGGACTTGGCATGGCCATGTCATCCTGGGAGGTCTAAACCTGCTGCCAGTCAATCCCACATGCACACCCAAGCTCTGGAGAAGGCCACCATTCCCCAGCTGCCCTGTTGTCTCAGAATATAAAGGCCTTCTTGGTCAAGACCTGGAAATGAGACCTCGTTTAAATTTCTAAGGCCTAATACGAAGTTAAAACAGAGGCTGCCTTTAGGTAAAATGGAGTGAGCGGGGAGTGGTCATGGGAACTGGCCTGAGGCAAAGGTGGGAGTCACAGCAGAGAGGAAGGGTCCTGGTGCAGAGTTCACGCACAGTGGAATCAAGAGAGTACAAGGCCATCCATTAAATTGCTCCCTCTTGTCATACCTAGTTGATAAAAAGTTGTTTCCAGCTACTTGATCCCTTCCTAACATGGGTAGGGGAGAAGGAGCCAGAAAGACTGTCAGCATGTGGGGGCTTTGTGTAGTAAGGGGTGAAGGGGGAGGAGGGCGCTGAAGGAGGAGAGACACTACCAGCTGTCTTTGATGTGCTCAAACTGCCACGTAATAAAACTGTCTGTATTTGCAGGACACAGACCATGTCTGAGATTTCTGTCATAGATCCTACAAGAAATTAAATACTACAAACACTTAAATGCACATCCTCTGTCCTCATTCCCCTACAGGGAAGGAAAGCAACCCTTGGGAAATGCAGACCTCCTCTACTGCCCTGGCCAGCACAGCGTTCAATTATTAACCAGGGAGTTAATGAAGGGCTTAGGCATTGCCCACATTACTATTTCTTGTGTGTGTGTATGCATGTGTACACATGGTAAGCGAGAAAGAAGGGTAGTAGCAACTCTCCTCACAAATGCAGAGCTCTGCAAAAACACACAGAATAGACACAAAACAACCACGCACAACAACACGTGCCCTGGCTGGTGAGAGTCCCTGTACACCTACTCTACTAGTGCTGACCCAGAAATGTCTCTTCCTGAATCATGATCAAGCACTTTTGCTCACCCTGTGGAAATAACATTATCAGCCAAATCTTACACGTCTTTATAATTTCTTTAGCCTCTGCACACGGTGCCTTGCTGTGCATTTAACTCTCAGTAACTTCACAGATGACGCTGACCCTCCCCTGCCCCAAGAGGAACCCTCCTGGTAAGAAGCCCTTTGAGCTGCTGCTGACACAACCTGCGCTACAGTGGCAGGACTCCCCCTCCCTCCCTTTAACCATGGGCAGAAGTGCTGGGCAGAGGGTTTCATCCTCCTTCACACAGAATCATGCCGTCTTCCCTTCTGCTCCCTCTTTCTACTGTCACTGCCACAGCTTTGCTAAGCCGCCACCTGTTGATGCTGCCAGGATTCACCGCTCATCACTAAAAGCCTTCCAGACCCCGTGATCTCTCTCCATGTACCAGCTACCAGCTGCTAGGAGCTAGCAGTCAAAATTTCTGAGCAAAAAACTCTGGGAATTTAGTTTTGCCGAGCTCAGCGTTCTAAAGTGACATGAGATCCGAGAGGATGAACCCATTACCCCTGCGATCGGCCGGGAGGCTTTTCCTGCTCAATGGGATGTACGGATCTGGCTGCAGGGAAGCGGCACAGGCTGGCAAACTGAAACTGCACTTTCCATTGAATCAGTGCACACAAACAAAGTTTACTGGTGTGCATTTAGGGAAATTCCCCAAAACAAAGATGTCACTAGATGCCCTGTTGTTAGTATCTGTGGCGATAAATAGATGAAGGGCCTTTTTTTTTTCCATGTCATGCATGGCTTTCACCTTACCCTTTTCCTCTTCACCTGAATGCCTGCAGCCCTCAGGGGGCAACAGAATGAAAAGCTCTTTCTGCATAGGCAGATCCAATCACCTCTGCTACAAATCTTAATCCCTTGGATACTTGGCAGGGTTTCAACAGAGCCATGGGGCCTCCAGCTTCCCCCTGCAGAGAATATGGCCCTGCTATGACCTTGCCTTGAGCTCCGGCCTGCAAGTTACGGAATTCTTTTCTTTCTTTTCCATCCACATCTAAAACCAGGATTGAAATTTAAGGGTTTATAAAAAAAGAAATTTGGAAACACCAGACATTCAAGCAGTCATCAAACCTTGTACAGAACCAGACTGACAGAAGAAACGGGATAATGACACTCTAGGAGTTTAATGGTCGATACGTTAAAGTGAGTGCAATACTATGGAGAGCTATTTGCGCCATAATACAGTAATTTTACATGTGTGTCTCCTTTTTTTTTTTGTTGAAGAAAATTATACTATGTGAATTGAGATAATAAAAAGCGAATTAGAAATGCACACATTGGATTTTCTGCTTCGTGACATTTTCAACACAACTACCACACACTGACTGAATTAGGACCATTTTTAAGCATATGCAAAACTTATGCACGATAACCATGAAGCCAAATTGATGCATATGACTCATTCCCATTCGTTTCCCCAGGTGAAGGATGGCTCATATTAGTGACTCTTTTCTTACCTGGATAGGGCACTCTCCCTTTTGTAACCAGCTCTGTCAGTAGGATCCCAAAAGACCACACGTCTGACTTTATTGTGAACCTTCCATACAATGCTGCTTCTGGCGCAGTCCATTTGATGGGAAACTTTGCACCTAATGAAAGAATAAATTAGTTTTAATCAAAATAGGGACAGAATCAAAGCAGCAGTTCACAGGTGACTGTTCTGCTCTGCAGCACTTGTGCACTGACATGTGTTAACATACAACTCCCTGGAATACAACCACAGAGGATGGGACAGATGGAATGTGTAGGGCAGAGGGAAAGACTTGGCAGGAAAAGAGTGGATTTGTCCCAGATCCCAAGGGACTGGTAAGAAATTCTAATTCAGTCTTGAGGTTTTATGTTTGAAAGAAGTCATAAAAAACAGTAACCCCAATATAATATAAACTCCCCCCAAATGTTTTCAATTAACATTTCCTTGTGATATTTGCAACTCAAACAGCATTAGCAGGTATGAATAAAATGGAGATACATTAGAAGTGCACCTCCCAGTTTCCCTGCACAGGCTGAGCAAAATGTGGAACAAACAAACATGGTAAAAAATAAATTAAAAACAAGTATTTCATTAGAAACGTGCAGGGACTTAAAAATAATACTGCCATGTGAGTTGCTTGGAGTGCAATGATGTCAAAGCATAACTTTGGCCTGTGATTTATAACTTGACAGTGTACTGTAAGCTCCTGGCCCTGAAAAGCCCATAGTGCCTTAACTACATGCAGTTCTACTGTGCTCATCTATCATCAGAGTTCGCTGGAGCCAGTTGTGGTAAGGATGGTACAATAACAAGCCTTTAAACACTGATTTATTTGCTCTTCCAATCATTTACTGTTTTCTTAGGGAGAATATTTTTCAGTAGAACTTAAAAGAAAACTCTTGTGGTAATAATTAACTCATAGCATGTACGAAAAAACATGCAGACCTTTCCCTGGTGCCTTGTATTAGCATACAAGCAAAAGAGCTGCTTTGCCTATTACTAATCCCTAGAGACAAACACGCTCAAATTTTGAAACATAACTGACTTTGACTTCCCATTACGCTCTCATAAGAGTTCCCGTAGCTTTCAGGAGGAGCATAGAAATCATAACGTGGACAAATCGCTCTCAGAGAGTTAAGTTATGGCACTGTTTACAGCTCCCGCTGGCGCTGCTCTGCCATCGCATTCAGCGCTTGGTGTCTCGCGGCTTCGGCCGTGTACTGCAGTCTCATCTGGGCTCAGATGTGGTAAATCTCATTCCCTCACTCAGTGAAACATCAGGTGTGCTAAAACATTTTCAACTCTAAATACAAGTCATCCTAAGGCAGACTGCTACTCGGAAAGAAATACATATTTTCTTATGAAAGTTGCAGTTGCTCAAACAGGTCCTACTAAAATTAAAGGACACAGGACAACGTTTCAATGTTTCCATACCTGCAGTTAGGAACTTCAGTCTGGTCATGCATCAGCATATCAACAGTTTGATTTGCAAAGATGATGAAGCATTTGTGGATGTCTATACACTTTCAGCCTATTCTCTACTGACATTAGTCAATATGAAGGCAGGAGCTAAAATACAGGTGGTGCTCAGCTTTGCCCTCAATTTCCCTTACCAAGGCTACTTGTTCATGAGACCAATCTTAGTTTACAACACTCAGAACTGGCAGAGCTTCATGTTGTCTCGACGCCTCCGTTCGCTGTGATGCCTGAGAGCTCTGCAGCCGCCTGCCATGGCGAGGGTCCCCGTCCTGGAGCTTTGCCCACCCTCAGCATCGCCAGCAGCCACAGGGGCTTGGCAACTCCCTCAACTGCTGCAAGGCCTGGAGCAACAAGCCCCGTGCCAATCCCTGGAAAAAGTGCAAGCTGCACATATCTGCGGGTCACGTTCCCCAGGCCTGTGGTTCATGGCAGGCACGTTGTGAATATGAGGACCAATGTCCCTCTGTTCTCTCTCCCATGCAGCTGAGATACAGCACACAAACACCAAGTTGAAGGAAGAGCTCCTGGCTGGTGGTGTGTGAGATGCCAAGCATGAGGGTTTGTGTGTTCATTTATTGCACATGTTTTATCCAGCAAGTTTTTCAATCAATCATCAGCTGTGTTTCCCTGAGAAGCTGAACCGATGTTGATTTAATTCCCTTAGGCTTCATAATCAGGTCCATAGGTAACAGTCCCCTAGAGTTCATCTTTGGAGGACAGAAATCTCTTCAGTCTCCTTTGTGACCAGCTCCCCCTCCAATTTTATCTTTTTCATCTACTACCAGTGTGGCACCAGGCAGTGAATATGTGCTGTGCTGAGGGATCATGGGAAGGGGGTAAATTCCAGCACATCCACTTTCCTGAGTGCTAGAGCAGCACCAACCCCATGGGACATGGCAAGTGAAGCTGGAAATACAAGCAGTCTGTGCCATGGAGTTTCTGATGGCAGCATGACTACTGATGACCCTTCCATACTGCCTCTGCTACAGGTGGTTCTCCGTCTAAAACAACTCATACGACAGCCACGTGCTCTTTTTTTGCAGTGTTTCCTGAATGTTTGATTGAAAGGGGAGGTAGGAAAGCAAAGCTTGGCAGACAGGCCGTGGGCAAAACCCAGCATGAAGGGGCTCAGGGCCTGCGAAGCACTCTGGAGGCCCAGGAGAACCAATGCCCTCACACAGCAGAGCCATCGGTAGAGAGCAGGGACGGGTGAGGATGCACCAAGCTGCCTGCCTGCAGGTACAAGGCAAGTGCATCTGCCACAGAGAGATGGCACGTAGATCGCTTGAAACAAGGATAAGTTCCAGTTACTCTGCCTGGCTTCTGCTTGACACAGTCTCTGCATTCACTCTGTTCCCAGTGCACTGATTAAAAATACAGCTCTCCCTACCTCTGCCTAGGTCTTCGCAGTTTAGGAAACCAGCTGAATTTGGGCTGAAAACAAGCTTCAGCATCAGATCATCAGATAAAATTTGTATTGCTGGTAAGCATGTTAATAAATCTGATAAGACCAACTACCCCACCTGACAAAGCAGCCAATCTCCTACTTTGAAGGCATATTTTAAATCAGCATGGGGAGATTTGTCTCTTTTTTTATTTTTTTTTTCTGGAATGGCTGAATCCATTTTATTACAAACTAGCAGGTCAGTAACTCGATGCCTATAAACCCATCACGCTCTAAATGCAGTAGGTCAGGATAGCCTGACTCTGCCCCGGAGTGAGTTCTTAATCTATGGCTTTTATCCCCACCCCTTTTCAAAAACGCTCCAGCATGGGAAAAGCCTTTTTTGGATTTCTGCGCTGCCTGGAACCATCACACAATAAGCCAAACCCTCTCAGATGATTTATTGTTAGGGCCGCAGACCTACCTCTGAGGATTTTAGTCAGACTTAGCCCTGAAATCTCTGCCCTCCTCTGCCCGGACATTCGCACGGGTTATCTCCCAAGAGGATTGCTCTGGGAAAATCATTCAGTGCCCCCGGGTGCTTTAATTCTTTCTGGCCTCCAACCAGGCCGTGCAATGCTGAAGAGCCGAGGGCGCTGGGATGAGTGAGTGCCCTTGACATACAACTCTCAGCGTGGATACTTTGCACGCGAGGGAAAATCCCTCTGTGCTTTGTTTTTCAAACCTAAACCTCCACCGAGCAGAAGCCTCTGGAATCTGTGCCCCAGAGCCGCGGCCGGCTTCCTAATGACGCCATTTCAGGAAACGCTGTGAAGCTGGTACAGCTTGCTCCTTGAAACCAATCTCAGCTGAATGCCCCGAAGCCCTAGGAGCCATGAACTCGGGGAGCTTTCGGGTCAACATTGAATTGCTGGGGCTGGGAAAGTCACACGAGGTAGAAACTAAACGCTGAGGGAGGCTTGTAACAGGAAACGAGTCAGTGGTGGTAGGCGAGGACGAGTGCTGCGTGGGAGGAACTGCACAACGACACTTGTGTGTGTTGTGAGAACAAACACGAAATCACAAGCCTGAAGAACACCAGAAGTCGGGAGCAGGCTGAGTCGGCTGCTGCCGCCCCGCGACGCAGCACAGCAAGGGGCAGGTCGGGACGCGGCCCCTCTCCCTCTGTGCAGAGCAGAGGGCGCCGCCTCCGGAGCATGTCCGTGATCCGGCATTCCAGGGGCCTGCTCCTGGGGAGCAAGAGTCGCTACAGCCGGCAGCGTGGGCCGGCGCCAGCGAGACAGATCTGAGTAGCTGCCTGGTGGCGGCCGAGTCTCTACAAAAGGACTGGCAAGAGCAGGAGAAAAAGAAAATTCCCACTCATTTCTAGGGAAAAAAAATAAGAAGCCTCACTTGGTTTTGAGTAGGGCAAGAAGGAGATAATTGGAACTGTTAGGGAGGAAAAAATGATCTGAAAGTTTACAAACATGTACCAGAGCTCCCGAAATAGCTCTGACTTGTCTGGAAGGCATCAGAAAGATCCTTGTTGTTTCATGTGTGCTGGAGCAGCGCTGCTGCCAGTGCTGCCAGTGTTTGCAGGAGAAACGTGGCCTGGAAAATAACTCTGCTCCTTTTTTTGTAAACGCAATTTTAAATTCGTATCAGCTGCTACAACTGAGAATAGTAGCAGCTCTTCCACGGCAGCGCTGCGGAGCGCTCGGCGCTCTCAGCAAAAGCGCCACGTGCGTGGCTGAAACGCAGGAGAACCCTCGTCGGAGGTGACGGGGGGCTGCTCTCTGCCCTGCAGAAGAGCAGCAGGGGAGGCTTGTGTGAGGCCAAGGCGGACATGAGCATCCCCACAGACGCAACGAGAGCAGAGTGACGCCCCACTGTGAAAGGGGAAAAGATGATGCAAGAGCAACTGTCAGAAGAGCCAAGTCCCGGCAGCGCAGCCTGCAATACAACCCGCCACTGTGGCCTTCAAACTGGGTGTCATTTTTGTAGGTATGTTTTTTCCCTTTGATTACTCACTTCCTCTAAAACTAGAGGAGCCAAATGATCATTATGAGCCAAGAACTACTCTTTTTTTTAATAATATTTAATGGCAGTATATAGCTGTAGCCACACACTTTAAATCATTAGTGGTGTGACCATCTCTTTCCTTCCTGACAATTGCTGAGAAACGGCAGTGCTGACAACGAACTGCTTTTTATTTACCTCTCATAAATCAGGAGCAGCCAGGCCTCCTTTGTTCCAACCAAAAAAGAAAATAAACCAGTCAGTGAAATGTTACCACGAGGCTAAGTAATACCCGTGCAGGTTCAGGAATCCTGCACTCTAACCCACTGGGGCTCAAAGCATCCCCATCTGTTTCCTTTCAAAATATTTGAGCGGAGACAAAAGTGACAGTGGGGGAAGGGAGCAGGAGATGGAGCAGTGGAGAGAACCACTTCTCCTCTGCCCCGTACCAACCCGCTGCTGTGACACAGAGTGCTGTGCGCAGAGCGCGACCCGAGGCTTTGCTCCTGCCGTGTGGCAGAGCATTTCTGTGCTTGCCAAGGAGCTGCGCGTTGGCAGCGCTCCCTTCCCCCTTCCCTCTGCTTGCGAGGCTCTATTCCCGTGTTGGAATTCCCAGCGAGGCTCTAGCCAGCTAGATAAACAGCACAGTCCCCAGATGCATCCCCTCGGAGGCTGAAGTAATAGGTCATGGGAAACAAGCAGAGACAACCGTTTCCTCCTGATACTGCAGTCACCACCACGCCGCGCTCCCATTTGAGGCAAAACAAAACAAAACAGGACTGAATTCCACTTAAAGAAAGATTCCACTGGAATAATCGGAGCTGTTTTTCTTCCTTGGTAAGTTAAAGGCACTAAATAGGGCGTCCAGCTGGAAGCCAGGTTAATAGGAATGAAATGTAAACAGAGATTATGCTTTTTTTTTTGTTAAAAATAACCAACAAACAAACAAGCAACATATTAAGAGAGAGTCAAGAAAAATTAGTAGAAGTAGGAAAACCTTTCTATGAAGCCTGTCCATCAGGCCATGGACAGAATGATGCCACCAGAGGTACTCATTACAACTCTTTGGGCCTTTACTTGAAGGCATTCTTGGGTCCTGAAGGACTTCAGCCTGGCCTCGGGAAGGAAAATGTTTTACCCTTCCTTCTGCAGTACAGGAAAGACAAGGGACTTCTCAAGACTCGCACAGCAAGATCACACCAGTGGAAAGAGGATTTGGGTCTCCTACCACCAGCCACGCAGGTTCAAGGCCAAACCACTCCTCCTTCCCAAACCAGAATCTTTTTTTCCACAGTAAAGGCAATTTCCACACTGGAAGAAGGGCAAGGGATATCCACGTCTATGCTCCCTCTCCCCTGCCAGTCCCTACATTCCACATTTTTGCAGCTCACGGTTTTCTCATCAAAAACCCAGTAATTTTTATTGTCTTATAAAAAACAAACTTCTCCACAGCATCAATCAGGCCGGGTTTCAAGGATTTCTAACCTGTAAAGAGGACAAATCATTCTGAGAGACCTTAATCAGGAAGCCAATAGGGCATTAAAGGATTTCTTAGGGATCCTGAGCTTGAAGATACCTAGCCAGGAACAGGTTACCTACCTGCCTTTTAAAACAAATAGTCATGTCAAACAATACACCGAACATTTCCAAAGGGAATAAAAAACATGGCAGTAAACAGACAAAAACGGAGGTAACAGTGAACTCTGTTTCAAAGCCATTTTACAGACTGGATCTGGCTGCTTTTTTTTTCTTATGTAAAACTCCTCTTGTTTTACAAAAAAGAAGGCAAAGCAAGTGGCTTTCTGCCTACTGGAGCTTGCAGACGCTGTTATTGCTCTAGAGAGCAATGACACAAGACTGTTTTTGCAAGCAAGGAACAATTCCCACCCTCAGGCTCCAATCAATATCGGTTAACTCTGAGCATTAGTAGCTATCGCAGGTTCTTTAAGGGCCCCCACCAAATAACAGGCGGTCCCGTGTGAACACGCAGTAGGTGACTGTTAGCGCAGATGTGGCCTGTGCTCCACGTCCTTGTGACTAGGTACTGCTGACAGCAATTAAGAGCACTGCAAACAGCCCTGGAAACTCTCTGGCTTGTTCTGTCAACACTTGATAGTTACAGAAAGAAGTGAGCTCTTTCCTAAGAATTAATGACAAAATCCATGCTAAAAAAGGGACTTTTGGTTAAGAGAAATAAATTGTAATAGGAAGAAGTGAATGTGGGAGAAGGAGTACTTAACTGACCTAACCTTCTGATGACATACAGCATGTTTTAATAAGACACTCGCTGGCTTTAGAACTGAAAAGGGACGGAGTGGTTTTTACCGACACATATTGAGCAAGCACTACCAATGTACTGCCAACAGAGAACAAAACTGTAGCTTTGCAAACTTGGATCAACATCTGACAACTAAGCATGACTTGTAAAGAACGACTAACTACAAAGAGCTTGTGTCATGGCTCAATCTGAACAAACACATGCTTTTAAAAACAGTTCTAATACTCTTTGATATATTTTTATAGCATATCAGTGGTTGGTTGTGCCCAACAGTCTGTGTGGCACTGGCAAATGGCTTTGCTATTACAGTAACTTTTTAAGTTTTTCAAGAAAATACTGTTCTCAGAGAGAACATCTCTATTGCATAAAGGCAAAAGTCTTGAACAGATTGTTTTGACCAATTTGAGAAAAATAAAAAAAGAGTAGCACAGTAGTTTAGTAAACATTAGAACTAACAAATAAATAGCTTATAGTGGCATAGACTTTTTTGGGTTCCCTGTTCAGGTTTTGAAGGTGGCAGATAAAGTGTTGTTGTTATGGCACTACAAGGATCTTACCTTTAGTCTCACTTAACCTTCCTGGGTTCACGGTCTTCCTATTTCCTTCAAAATCTGACCAAAATGAATAAAGCCTTTTCTTTAAAATGTGCATTGACCAGTAAAGTGCTGGGCCAGCAGTTAAATATGAGTCCAGGTTTTGCTGAACTCCAAAGCATATGAGAGAAGGAGAGATTTTTTCAAAACAATTTTGCATTCTCCCTCATAAGAAAATAATGACACTCCATGTGTGCTGCAATATCTACCTTGTCTTGCTGTGTATTCGTTGTCTTCAATCAGTCTTGCTAATCCAAAATCAGCAATCTTGCATATGAGGCCATTCCCCACCAGAATGTTTGCAGATCGCAGATCTCTGTGTATATAATTCATTCGCTCAATGTAAGCCATTCCTGCAGCCACCTGTTGGAAGCATAAAACACAATTAGGGAATTTTAAAATAAACTTGTACACAAATGGGCTATGAAACACATAAACCTAAGTGCTCAACACTCTGAAAACAGACCTGGGCTGCCATGTCCACTAAATTCGGTAACTTCAAGGCTCTTCCTTCTCCATCTTTCAAGAAATCTAGCAAACTTCCTGTAAACGCAAAGTTGAAACAATAGAGAAATGTTAAGTTTATTAAGACTATTTATCAGAAGGGATATGCAGTATTAAAGATAGAAATGTTTTGAGTTCAAGTGAGCAACTTCAAAAAAGAGCAGTATTTTCAAATTCTTGTATTATACGTTGTCTCACTTTGCTTTAAGGTTGGCTTGCAGAAGAGTATGTCACTAGTCCAAAGAAAGTTGCAAGGAAAAGAAACAAAGTTGTTTTTTATTTTCCTGACTATTACTAAGAAAGCTGATCTTTCTTAACTTGTTCTATGTGTGCCAGTGCTCTTTTAAAGTACATAGTGCTGCTCTCTAAAGGCGTCAGCTAGCTAAGAAGCAATGTCGCGGTTCCAAGCCACACAAGTTATGGAAAGAGTCAGATCCCAGCTCAACCTACTCCAAAGGAAAGGTCAGCCTGGAGCCCAATAAGCCCGTAACATTAGTAAAGACTTATTTTCCTTAGGAGGTATTCCTTCGTAGCTGTTTTTCTTCAGGTAACATGCAACTAATCGTAGTGTGAGTCATTAGTTTTAGAAGGCTGCTACGCAAAACTGAAGAGTACAATGCGAAGACCAGACAAAAGTGGTTTTAGCAAAAGCAGTATGCAAAAAGCTTCCCTGCCTACGGGAAAGCAAGGAGCTTCCCTGTAGCTTTTTAAAAAAGCTTAGGGTGCTTATAGCTTCCTTCCCAAACTTGTACGCAGTGTGTATTTAAACAGAGAAGTGGAGCAGTCCCCTTTAAATAAGGTCAGTCAAATGGTTTAATAAATAAGGGGAAAAGACAGATGATTAGGCATTTTTTCCCTTGATAAATCCTCAGCCTCAAGCTCAGAACCAGAGATGTAAAATGGTACAGTAAAAACTAGTAAACTGAGCCAAAATAAACCACGTATTTCAGACAGATTTTGAGGGGAAAAAGCACATGCTTGACACTGAGACATATGATTAAAGTGTGAGTTAGTCAGGGCTTGAATGCCTCTGAGGAGGGAGGTGGGCAGGCACCTGCCAGGAAAATAAAAATCAACTCCAAATAGACAGAAAAAATGCACTCAAGATTTTAGAGTGTATCCTCCAATGTACAATGAAACTACCCTGTGAGAACTTATGTTTCCTATTTGGTTCATTTGCTTTTCCAAGATAAGCAGAATTTTCTTCTCTACTCTCAGCACCCCTGCTGGAGATCTGACGGAGCTAGAAGGTTTCCTTTTTACACTTCACTATGCTATAACCAGTTAAGTAGCCTAAAGAAAAAAAGAACCGAGAAGGAGGAGAAGAGAAGGCAAGGCACGGGGAAAGAGAAAATAATCATGTGTGGAAATAATTTCTTTAAATGATAAACAGCGTAGGCTTAAAATTAAGCTGTGATGTGAGAGTGAGGTGTATGCTTTAGAACTCAGACCTTCTATTGAAAGCAAAATCTTAGGCTGAGAAGTACATATTGAAAGAAGACGCCAGCACCAGGGAAAGTCAGGATGTCAGAAAGCATTATAATACATGACACAAACCTAGAAAATGCAAATCTCCAGTTGCAAGGGAAGTTTAGGTGCTGCTAAAATTGGAAACACTTAAACTGTTAGCAAATTCTCCCTCCTCCTACCTGGCACAATTTTTTCTGTTACATGTACACCTAGGCATTTCAGTTTTTGGGGCCTCATTCAAAACTGAATTCATAACTCTCCTGAATTAAGAAGTGAATCTAGTTTCTTTCACTCTGTCCTTACACACACTCTTTTTGCATCACACTGCATCTCCCTCTGTACCCACAATAACTTCAACAAAAATTATATAGTGCTCTCCAGGGCAGCAGCACTGGCTTCACCTTTGCTCATGTACTCTGTGACAATATAAATGGGTTCTTCAGATACCACAGCATAAAGTTGGACCAGTTTGTCATGTTTTAGCTTCTTCATGATTTGGGCTTCTTCTAAGAACGATTCTGGAGACATAGTGCCAGGCTTCAGAGTCTTGATGGCCACTTTAGTATTTCCATTCCACGTACCTACAAGCACAGATATTTAGTTAGGTTAAACATCTTCTGCTCTTTTACTTACCAACACCTAATGTAACCGAAAAGTTAACTAGCAAGGGTACTTACTACTACTTCTGTTTTAAAAAGTGGTTTCACATTTTGCCTTAGCATTTGTACTTTTCCCCCCTTTTCCTCACAATTTAGGCTTTCTTCTATTTTACTGAAAAATAAATATTCCCATTGCTGCTAGGGGACAATCTCCCTTGCCTTACTCAGATAACGCTTCCATTGACATGCATGGAAACCTTCTCTGAGTAAGAAGAAATACAGGACCTAAAATCCATTTTCACATATTTCCCTCGTGACAAGTAATTACTACTGACAGCAACACAGCTCCAGTCACAGATTGGGCTAACAGATTTGGCTAAACCAAGGACTTCCAGCTTGCAGGCCATTTTAATATTTTTTGCTCTGAACCAGAGCAAAAACACTCTATGAAAAATTCCTCCAAAACCAAATCCTGAATCGATTTCATCTCAGAAACACTGGCGTATTTCCACAATTTGCCTAGGATTTATTTCTTGAACACTACTGGACCCCGCGCTCCTGAGGGGCTGCCCGTGCGGCTGGTGCAGCCCAGCGGGAGAGCTGGCAGTGCTGGGTACAGAACCATGGGCACCCGCTCCGGAGTCCGACCGGCTGCACGAGGACCCGGAGGGAGCTGCGCAGCCCTGAGCCAGGGCTTCCTACAGGCCCTGCTGCCTCCCGTGCGTGTTTGCGAGGGGGAGAAGGAGGACAGGAAAAGAAGAAATAAACACCTACCGATGTCAATGGGTTTCTCAGGAATGGGGTGGGTGGGAAAAAAATAAAATGAAAATGGGTGGAAATACGAGTACCCTACTGCTTTCCAGTGGTGCTGAAGCAGAATGGGACCCCTGAACTACCAGGAGTCAGCGGGGAGGGCTGAAATCATCAACCCTGGAAGCGCAGGGTCCCCTGCAGTGTTCCAAGGGGCTGTCAGGAAACCCCATGAAAACATCTCAAACTGGTGTGTTCTCTCATACAGCACCTTGGAGCTCATGGGCATGTACAGAACTGTGGTTGTTCACAAAAATTCTTAGCTGTTTTACTGATAAATTCCCAAGCACAATCCTATAATAATAGGAAGCCCAGTGCAACAGAAGCAATGGCAATTGCTTCTATGCCTATTAAAAAAACAGCTATCTTAAAAAAAACTAAGAAATCATTTTTAATGCAGGAACAAGCAGTCTGCACTCTCTCCGTTGCCTCTCTAAGAGTACTGACTGCGAAAGTACATCTGTGGAATTCTTTTAATTTGGATCTCACAGATTTCATATAGAATGTAATCTATTTTTAGGGAACTGCTATTTAATAAGGCAAGAGAACAGTCCTGAATGGCTTCAGGAATTAATTGTAACAGGTGAAATTCACTCCTCTGCACATGAGCACATGAGGCTTGCAGAAGGCCTACAAAGTATATGAAGACTCAGACTTAACTCTAATTTCTTTAAAGAAGATGCTGTGAAGGAGATAACATTTAAGATAAGCCTATTTGGAACTAGAACTTCTTGAGTGCACAGTAACAGACGGTTACCACTGCTCCGCAGCAACTGGCTAAGCCAAAATAACTTGATGATGAGCTTTCTGCAACATGCCAGAGCACAAGAAAATTGGATCGCTGTTGTGCAAAGAGTCAATTCCCAGCTGCCATCTTGCCTAGATAAGGATGGAGGAGTGGCTGGAAGCAACTGGGTAAGCAGTCTTTCATTTCCAGGACAACTTGTGCAGGACACCCTATGTTGTTTAAGGATGGCCTGAAATACATATTAGCTAAAATGATCTATTCTGCACAATTTCGGTTTCCATTAAGCTTTGTCTTTCTTCTGCCACCTCAGTGCCAGGTGCTTTGGTGTCTTCAGGTGGTGGAATAACGTCCTGTGCTGCTACCACTGCTCACTCAGGGTACGCGAGGCGGACTCCTCGGCCCTTAGTGGAGTCAGCCCTTTGCATCAGAGCTGCAACAAGACGTCACTTCGTGGCACTAATACGCTAGACAGGAAGGCTGCAGCTTCACTTTCTGATTTTAAGTCGACTGGCCAAAGCCTTCTTTAACAGGTAAAAGAGAGTATGTTTCATATGGGCCGCTGAGAAACAGAACCACGGGGTACCTTCAGGCACCGTCGCTTTGCAAAATTGCCACAAATTACCTAAATGTGGAATGAAACCCTAGACTCACAGACATCAGGGCTTTTGTAACTGACTTTAATAAACTAAGATTTTACCTGGTGTGTTAAGATGATTAATTGTGTATTATCAATTTTCTTGGCCATAATAAAAATCCTAGGACTCATTCTATTACCGTGGAATATTTTTGGTATCCTATTTTTAAAAAACACTTCTGTGAATTGCTCCAGTTAAAAAATGAAAATCAAGTGTAAAGTTTATTTCACCTTCTCATCCAAATTGCAGGTTAAGTTGTAAAATTTTCATGTTGTGCATTAGTATTTTCATCTGTCATTGAGAAACTAATTAGCCTTCATTAGTAGAGACCTCCTTCCGAATTCTTCCTGTTGATACTTAAGTTATTACTTGGTGCCTATTTTATTCATTTTTAATGTATTATCTACTCTAATTTGGTAAAGTTTCGTGACTGATATTCACGACTGAAATATTTCTACTACATCTTACTTTAAGAAAATGATGCAACAACTGTAATAATAACTTATATATTCCTGAAAGATACTTGGTACTTCATTTTTTACAACTGAGATTTTTTTGAATTGCATTTGCTAATTTAGCTTATTGTAACAGTTGAAGATCTGTGGCACACAAAACTGACCACTAAGAATGAGGGTGACAGAGCACTGGAACAGGCTGCCCAGAGAGGATGTGGAGTCTCCTTCTCTGGAGATCTTCCAAACCCGCTTGGACGCAGTCCTGTGCCACGTGCTCTAGGTGATCCTGCGTGTGCAGGTGGGTTTGACTAGATGACCTCTAGAGGTCCCTTCCAACCTTAAGCATTCTGTGATTCTATGAATGAACATCAACTCGAGTCTCTCACATACGGTCAAGATGGAGAAACAAGAAGGTGAAATTACAGTTATCTTGGGATGCTAATAGGGAAGACAAGCAGTTTTCTTTGCAGCAGGCCCACTGCAATCTACAAACTCGATAGACTTGCTGGCACGTTCCTTGCTGTAGCCTTGCAACAGAAAATAGTTGCGAGAACCCTGGGCAGCCCACCGTTTATTTTGGTTTTACATTCTTATGTGTCATTGCATACCAAGTAGTTCCACCAAATGACCATCAAGTGATGAAAATATATATATTGTTTTTTCCTTTTTTTTAATCAGTCATTTTAAGGAGGCTATATGAAATGCAATTTGGTGTAACAATGTGCATACCTCTCATTAAACGGCCAGTACATTGTATTTCAGTGCTAAGACCATGTTAAGATTTATAGATCTTTTAATTGCTATTGTTTAACAGTCATTTAGAGGAGGCTTATGCAGAAGGGAGTAGTAGGAAAATCAGGGAAATGTGTAGAAAACAATGTCAGTGGATTTGGAAAATGCCAGTATTCCTGGACTTCAAACAGCGGTTTCAGCTGCCCTGGACAATTCTTGACTCTATTGTCCATGGTCTGTATATCAAGTTACAGGGTTTTGCCACATACACAAAATTTCAAAACAGAATTTCTGAAGTGGATGCGTGGCAAAGCCAGCCTGACAATACTAGCTCCCTGGTACTTGCCATCATTTTTTAAACTGAGGAGGGGATGGGAACATTTTCAGGGTTTGACCTCATCAATACTAAAACATACATGGAAAGAAAAATGTCTGGTTGGCATTTATTTCTGGTTAGCCATTCTGTTTTATGAGATTAGTATAACTCCAATTTTAATATTTAGATATTGTGTAGTCACCTAAATATCATTGTAATTAGTGAAGTTTAAAGGCCTGGCCCCTCATACCTGTGAGTGCAAATGAAAGGAAGTTTCTACACGAACTACTATATTTAGGTCTCACTGCACTAGGTGATATAGACTAACATTTCAAACTGTTCTGATCTTCTAGCTTTCAGGTTTTTATTTCAAGTTTCTATTTCTGTCAAGAGGGCCTTAAAAGATCTATCCAAAGCAAAATATATTCTCTGCCTTACCACGCCACACTTCAGCGAAACAGCCCTGACCAAGCTTCTGCTCCAGAAATAATGAATCACGTGCAACTTCCCATGCATCTTTAGCCAATCCAACAGTTTGTGGGGTATTATTCGTAGCAATCACAGTTAAGTTAAAACACAAACCATCAGCTTTCTCTATAGGAGAGGAAATTAATAAAAAAAACACACTTATAATCCAAAACAATGCATGCATTGACAAAGATGGAAGGTGAATTGTCTTTCAGTGTCGCATTAACGTTTACTTGCAAATGCTGATTTTTGGATACTGAAGGTAGGAACTTTTTTGCTACCTTCCAGGAAAAGGCTCCTTGATACAATTAACAGACTACCATGTGAGCCTTGATTTATTAAGACTGTAATAACTTGTCAAAATTGAAAACTTCCAAAGGAACATGAAATTTCAGTTTTCCTTTGCCATCAATTACTGTGAAAGCTGAAGATGAAAGAATTTCAAAAACACGATTCCCAAGGCATTTTTACTAACAATTTGAGCTTTGCACCTTTTTTTGTGGGAGGGGTCAGTGTCCTACACCTTCACCTTCCATCTTGTAATCCCCACACAGAGAGCTATTTTAGAATAATTATTTTGCTCCATACCCATCCATACTTCCCCAAACTGCCCATTTCCCAGTCTCTTGATCAACTGTAGGGATTCTCGTGGAATTTCCCAGACATCTTTGGTTTTGACAGACAGATCAGTAAGCCTTGGCATTCCTTTATGACAGGGGACTACTAAGCGGCAGCAAAGACCTGCAGCTCTCTCTGATGGAGCCAGAAGTGAAGCCAACAGCAAAGAAGAGGAAAGAAAAAAAAGGGTGACATGAAACAAAAACAGTAAGCATAAAAACAATGCTACTCACAACAGCTGTTAGTTGCATACCACAAAGCATCCTGGAAGATTAGAAATTGAACACTGAAACATATTCATTTGAGACAGAACAGGAAATATTTTAGTTTCTGCTTCCACAGCCTTAAACTGAAGGTGACCATCAATGGTTTCTCATGTGGACTCGGGATCTTCCTTCTCCCATAGCGCTGCTTTAAGGCAACTTCCTAGGTAATGGCATAGTATAGTACAGTATAACTCTCAAAAATTATCAGTAATCCACAAACTGGAGTGCATCTGAACTGAGTCAAAGTGCCACAGCGAAGATTCTGTTTTTCTGAAAATCACACCAACAGAAATCTGGCAGACATTTTTTTTTTGCACATTTTTTCTAAGTATTCTATGAGAAACTTTTTCTCATGTTCCTTAGAATGCTATTTTTTTTTTAGGCTATGCAGCCAGTCCCGCACCATTAGGACAGGTTCATTATACTTATTCCTTCTAAAGCTTCACAGAAGACTGAATTGTGACAGAAGTCACAAGATATTCTAGCAGGACTAAAACCAGCGCTATGTATCTATTGCTGTAGAGTAACTGTACTGCCCAGGGCAGACTGGATCATAAAGCTTGCAGAGCAATTTGTACTTTAAAACGGGTGCAGCAGGGCAGGACAAAGAGGAGAACTGCTATTGCATTTGAGACTCAAATATAATTTTCATTCTGCTATGTAAGATTTCCTTCTGGACAGTTGAAAAGTTTATTTCAGCATCGCAAGGTAGGAAAGCATCAAAGTTTTGGCAACACCAAGCTCTACCTCCCCAGCACAAATGCCACAGGATGGTGGGAAAGTCCCTACAGACACCCTAACATGGACCTTGCTGTGTCTCCTGTAGCAAGATCACAATGCTGGGACGATGAAATGACTAGCTAGCATGTCTGATTGCAAGATACCTCCAATGGGGAATATTAGGATGGGGACTCAAAATACAGGCAATACCTGGAAAGTCTCCTTATATGTCTGGATAGTTGCAGAAAGGAAATAGGAGTTTTTTTAAATCTCCTTGTTTCCTTTAACTGAAACAGAAATTTAGTGTGACGGTGCTCCAAAAAGACTGGACTGCAGAAAGCAGCAGCAAGGCTTTATCTACAAATTCTTTCTCCTGCTAGGGAATGGGTGAATAGTGCTGGAATTGCAAACGTGCTGCTCCTGGATTTCACTCCGACGTCAACACGCTGTTGGGATCTCAGTACTTTTGGTCTGGAAATTTCATCCATGAAAGTCTGGGTAATAAGGGAGGATGCAACAGGAATGTAGTGCTGCGATACCTGGGTTGTGTCTAGATTTGCTTGGTGGTTCTGAGTCCTGATGTAGGACTGCTTACACGAGACCAGATCTTGCACTGACTGCCTGAGAGGTGGGCGCAGAGCAAGCATGTCCTGCTGTGAGGGAACCGACCCGTGCTCTCTGCACAGGACACCAAGCCACTGTGCTGGTGTCTGCAGCATCTCCACGCCCTCTGACCTGGATACCACTGAGCTGCACTCCCCAAAGTAAAGCTAGGCACCTACAAGGAGTTGTGATAGAGCCCGTATAGCTCCCAAAATCCAGAAGCCTGTGCAGGGAAGTTAGAGGCACTGTTTATGCTTGGAGTCAGGTAGGGCTGGGCACAGAACGAGGGCTGCTGTGAACCCCTGCATGTGAAACCTCTGGGCTTGGTCTGGACCACAATCCCCTGAGCTAACCTGGATCCTACTACTCACACCTCTGTGTTGCACAGAACTGACTGTTTCCAGACCTGCTTTGTCTCTGCAACTGCAGAAGGAAAATATGTGGCCCAAATAATTTGACCACAGATTGATATATATTGTAAGTTGAAATGTACCCAAAAAATGGCATAGTGGTGTTGAAAATTAACATCTTTAGATGTGAGCTTCCATACATCATTTAGCTTCGTTTAATGCAGAGTCACCGGAAAAAACTAGGAATTCTCCCAGGCAGCATGCACCCACCAGAAACTGCGTGGAGAAGACAGCCAGATGTCTAGTATGAGCAGCATAAGAACGCAGAAGACAGAATATAAAGAACACAGAAAAAAACATCCCACAAAGAAGCTGATTTCCCAAGTAAAATTTATGAAAAGTTTTTGAGCAGTGAGCATCTAGGGTCACCTATTAAGATGATCAAAAGCTATAGCAAAGACAAAGCAATAAAGAATAATAATTAAAAGAAAAATCCATACTTCTGTTTTGAAAACAAACTGTTGAGAAGTATGACAGTCTTCTGTGCAAGAAACAGTAAGCATGTGCAGAGATTTTGGGGGCTTTAAAGTCCTAGGTTATTGCATACCAATTTTCAGTGTCAGCAGGATGCACTTTTGGTTGAATTGTGTGTACCACTTTTTAATCACATGAATTAAAAAAAAAAAGAGGTGGACATGATGGGGAGAAATACAATATATATAAAGAAATGCCCACTTCATCATATTTATTTTTAAAATGAGACTGCTGGTAATTTAAATGCTAATACTCTGCACCTTGAACATAAATTCAACATGAAGAATTGAGTCAAGTAATATATGGAAACATTTTTGCTGTGCCTTAAGTGACTGAATGCCACAATGTAATTCTGTAAATGCTTTATTAGCAACACCGCGCTGCAAAAGGGTAGATATTAGCACTCCCTTATGCACAGGGAATTAATGCAGTAGTTCTGTGTTCTTAGAAAAGGCACGCAGTTACCTGCGTGGACTGCTACCTACAAAAAGCTCTGCTGCTGTGCACTATGAATCTCATTTAACAACGTTTATAACCATAATGGGAAAGTGATAATGCATTACAGCAAGCCAAAGCCACAGCTCAAATGGCTCTGCAGGACCTCTTATACATAGGAGAGCAAACAAGCAAGTCCTCAAGAGTGTCAGGTATTTTTCTGAGAAGTTACCTGAATAATGCTGAACCAGCTGCTGAAGAGTTTCAAACTGTGCCCGAGTTGTGATATAATAGCCACCATTGTCGAGTTTACGAATTTTATAATGTTTGACATGATCTCCTTTCATATCATCCCAGTCACGAATGGACAGGGAATAGGCACCTGTTTCAAGACAGAGAGGAATAAAAAATCATAAGCACCTTTAAGACAGCCAGAATTTGTGGTTTGCCAGTCATTTATTACAAAATAAAAGAGAAATTGCTTTAAAATGCCTATTTTACATTTAGAAAGAGCAAGTGAATCCAACACGATTAAAGTGTCACAGAAATTTGTGGGTCACAGAAATCACACCGTACCTCCTCCACACTTTTTCAGAAAGAAATCAGGACTTTTGGGTAAATGGAAACTCGCATCTTAACATTTACTGCTTCAGGTCATTAAATTTACTTTTCCCTCTCTAAGTGTCAGGTTATACTGCAAATACTGTACTTTAGGTAAATGCCAGTGGGCAGTAAATGTCAAGGTATTCAAAGGAGTCCCTAGAGATAATGACTTCATATCTGTGTAGTATTGTCACCCAGATGGACCCCAAGCTGTTTTACAAGCATTAAACAACCAAATTAACCAACTTGGTATGTCACAATCTTTGGAGGAGAAAGTCCTACTACACTGACTTCGTGCATCAGAAGATTTGCTAGAACTGCACATTTCTCTTTCCAAATCTATGGAGGAACTTTAGATATTACTGGTGGGATTCAGAGGCCTAAACACAGGACTTAAATGTGAGGTGAGCTGTCAAATGCCCAGCCTCCTCACAAGGGAGCAGCTTTCCCACAGGTATCAGATTTGTCTGATCTGTGTGGAGCATTCAGGCATTTCAAATGGCTCCAAATGCTCATGTGTAAGCAATGGAAACTCAGGTTAGGGCTGGGTTTAGGTTTTAGGTAGGTACACTATGTTCCTGGTGCAGATGCCCAAACACAAGGTGCTGGTTCTGCTAAAGCATCTTAATTTCAGCCTCATTTCCTTTGACTGTAATGGTACTGTCCAAGTTGCTGGTGTGACTCAGGTCTGAACACTACCTGTGTGTGTGTAACCGCATTTTACAATATATATTTTTTTGCATTATGAAAAAAATGAAAAAGGTTAGTTGTTTCAAAGGCCAGGGAAGAAATCTTCATTCATGTCTCAGAAAGAAATCTCGTTTACTCAAAGGTAATGCAGACTTCAAAAGAAAATACTGGAAGCAACTGTAGAGATCTCAGGAAGGCCCCACTTCTGGAGACCAGATGACTTTCACTGACAAAAATTTCAGCTAAGACCAGGAAAGCAAAACCAACATCAGAAAATTTTGGATCACCTTGATTTTCCTCAACAAGAATTTCATGGAATTCTGAAATTTCTCCAACCATATCAAACTGCAACAGATTACACTGGTCCACAGCTTGCCACTGAGTGGAGCTGCGGCAAACAAAACTTCTCCACCCATAAACTCTAAGGAGTTCTTAAATTACCTGTTATTTAACCTTTAGGAGGAAAAGAGCCAGCACTTAATCCCAAAAGAAGGGAAAGGCTTTTTATTTTTAAATGCAGAAAAAAATGTCCAGGTTATTTTTCTGAGTCTCCTTCTGAGTAAGTCAGTTAGGAGCTTTTTCGGGGGATTTGCAGGCAAATCTTGTACAAGCTTTGTAGCAACACGGATCGCTGTACATGGTTGTCCTGCTTCCAAAGTTTTCCAAGCAGAGTTCTCCAAGTCTGCATTTGTGAGTTTTGATCCACTGAGAGCAGCTGTATTTTCTTTAGTCACATTCCCTGCCTATCTGATTAGTATTTTAGTTTCTTTAGGAAAACGCAAATAATCTTTGGCTCCAGTTCTGCAATCAGATCTGTGTGGGTGGCCCTCTGTGGACCCCCACTGACCCCAGATCAAGTTGCAGGACTGGCAATTTAGCTCAAATCTGGACAAAAACAAGAACCAAGACTCACTGCATTATTCATTTATTTAGAAGTTCATTATTTAGACTATTCATTATTATCTGCTGATAAATTGAAATATAGGGGCTACACCTAATACAAATCTGGATAGAAATACCACAAGGCAGTACATCATATTAATGATTAAAAAAAAAAATAAAAGCAAACAGCATTGAAAGGTGCAGATTGAAACCAGGTGAAGGATTATACAGACAAAAGCTGATGAAGTACCTGGGTAGTCAGGCTTTGCAAAAATAAAAAGCTAGATCTGACTGATTTATTTTGGAATTATGGTGAGAAGGCAAGCATGACCATGGGAGGTTAAACTCAGGCTGAAGTCATCCACTTTGATACATTTAAAATAAGCTTGATTAATTTTATTAGCATTATTATTTAAAGCAAAGTGAACAATTGTAGATCACAAAGCAATCCCTGCCTCAAGCCCAAGATAACTGGCTGGAGTAAAGCAGCTTCAGACTTATAGGACAATGCACCACTCAGTTCTCTCAGTTGACTGTTTTCTCTCATGAACAAAGTTTCTCTATCTTTCTTTAATGATATATTTCCAGAGACACCACGAGAAAGTAAATGGGCTTTTTCAACAAAAAGCACTTTTTTTTTCCAGTGGCTTATGTACCAACTGTTAGCCTGAAGATGTAGAAAGCCTTAGGTTCAAGAGCAGAGAAATTAAGCTTGCTTTTATAAGCACACCCATGATGGATTACTGCATTTCCCCAATGCTCTTTGTTTCTCCACAGAAGCCCTAGAAAAAAAACTTACTAAGCTAAGTTAACACTTCTGCAAAACATCTCTTCTACTACCATCCAAAAACAGAAATGTCAACATAGACTAAACTGATAGCATGGTTTAGAGAAATGACGTGATGTGCGTTTTTAAGCACATTGTGTTATTGTCTTTGCAAACTCTGTATAGAGTGGAATTAAGCCCTGCTTTTCATATATAATAGCAGCAGTAGTTGGACACATTGAGCAGGTGGAGGCTATTTGCAAGAGAGGGCAAGTCAGAGCACGTCTTGATCCTGGTGAGAAATGCTTTGCTGCTAGCTAAGGTATGGAGAAGCTACTGGATGACAGCATGGCAAATTAACTGCCTGAATCAACAGGTGGTTATTCTGTCAATTCTGATTTTTCTGAGAACCTGAAACGTCCAGACATCTAATTGCTTGGCACCCTGCTATATTGAACTCAGTATTTTACAAACTTACTGTGCTTTTTTTTTTTTTTTTTTTCTCTCATATCTACTAATTAGTAGTCAGAATAGCTTTGGACAACATACCTTTGGTAGTTTCACTTTCCCGGATAAGGAAGGTACCTCTTGGGTTTCCGAATGATAATAGTTGCCTCTCGGCATCCTTTCGGCCAAGTTTGCCGAAGTACCACCTGGAGGTAAACATCAGAAATAGTGAGAAAATGCTATATAGGATTACGTGCTAGTGTCACACAGCTCAGACATGGTATATTATTTGTGGAAAATTTGGTTACTCAAGCATATTCAACTGCCATCCTCATGCTGTATACCTCTATTTGCAGTGGGAAGGTAATATGACACATCAGTGGAGTGGAGGTTATGTATATTTTACACTGGCACTTGCATTAAGCCTCTAATCAGTGGATGTGGAGAATGCTTGTTTGATGTCCACATCAACCACAAAGGCCAATTTTTAATCAAACAGCGGGCAAGTCTTGGGAGAGAAGGAAGAAGGGAGAAAAACGCTTCACTGCTGAAGAGCAGTGTTTCCACAGATGTCGTTCTAACCTACTGACTTGTTTTACATTGTGATTTATTAGTATCCAACATTTTTCTTGCAGTACAGCTAGAAACAGAACTCAACAGAAAGGCCAGATGCAACCATTTTATTGTGGTCTGTAAGGCTTTTCAGTGCCTTTTTCCTTCTTGCAGCAACTAATTACATTTTTTAGGGATTTTTTTTTTGGGGGGGGGAACAGAAAGGTCCCAGTCAACCAAGTCGGAGACACTTCAGATGACAGTTGGAATGCTTATATCCTACTTATTAGAATAATGTCCATGAACTATAGCAAAAGTAGCCTGCAGTACAGACTGCAGTAGCTCTGGAGTAGAATCCATGGCACTCCACAGAGCTTATTCAGACAACATACAGATCCCCACCTTACAGCCATGCTTTGCAGTCCTGCTATACAGTACCTGCTCAGACATTTAAGCTTCCCCAAAGTAACTTGGATACTGGAAATAATATGGATGCATACACAGCCACAGCACTCCACTGTTCACTGCACATGTGTCCTTATATGTGCTTGCTGTGCACTTTGCAGGCACCTTATCTTGCAAAGGTGATATTTGTTACAAGGTGCCCTCCATAGTGCAGAGCTTGCACACTGATAGACTCCGAATACTTTTACAAGCTGGTTCAGGAAAAGAAAGGGTACCATTTGCTTAAAGCTAGAAATAAGCTAAAACCCAAATAAAGTAAGCAGACTTGTGTTCTTTTAGGTTTTCTTCCTTTGTTTTGACATTGAAAAAGCATCGAACTTGGGCTTCTGTTACTAATTACCTAATTATTTACCAGTGCAGTTGAGAATTGAAATAAAAATGATACCAGTCGTTTGAAAAATCACTACAATCAATCAAAACAAACTCCTCAAATCTCCTTCAAGTACAGCACTAATGGGTCTTTACAATGAAAAGAAAACATACTCCTCTGCTTGGATGGAATCGACTGGAGCCACATAATTGCTGGGAATATAACCAGTTTCGCCTGTTGTCAAGGACCGGGCCTCCCACCAGTCTCCTTCCCTGCAGAAACAGAGATGAGGAAAAGTGAAGGAGAGCTGTAAGGACGACAATACGACTGCTGCTGGGTGTTTTAAGTATTCACAGCAGCTCATTTCTTCATCCTGGGCATACTTCTGAGAGAGCTGTTAACAACTAAATCAAAACAATACATGTATTTCATTGCATCTGTTATTAGTTCAACAGTGATTAGTAATGTAGCCTTCCAAACGTAGCATAATGCCATAAGCAGGCGTAACTTCCACTGAAATTACATTTGTTTAGAGCTGAATTTGGACTAGAATATTGAAAATTTTCCCCACAGCAATTATTCTAATATAGACCTCTGAGAGAGCCTTTTTAAAAAGTGCCCAACCCCACAATTTCACATTCAGTGCTATTTTTAACATGGCATTCAAGCTTCCACGTGGATACTCCATCTGAAATCTAATGACATCAAATAGTCAAGAGTTGTAGATGGGCTTTAAGGGTCACACTTCACTGTCCTGGCCACCTGCAGGAGATACTTATTTGAAAATGTATCATCCAAGTCATTTACTTCTTAATGTATGAAAAACATTCTTCTACCACATTTATAGAGAAGGCCACGTAGGAACATCTTACTCCAGTGTTCCACAGGCTTAGCATCAATTTCTGTCTTACACATGTGTGTGCAGTATGATATAGTATTACTATTCAGCCAGTGCATATTGCTGTAGAATACATAGCTTTTAAAATCAAGTTTATTGCTCAGCTTTTTACAGGATGCAGTGATTTGGGATTTAGTGGTTTGTATTTGGGTCTCAGAATTGTATTCATTGACATTTAACTCCGACTTTCACTAACTCTTCTATCTGTACTGCCTAGAAACTCATATTCTCTCTCAGTAAAATAGAGATTTGTTTACTAAGTGTGGCCAGAAAATTCGGCATCTCCAGTATGGAGATTTATTGAAGACACATTGTCTTCTAAGACATTTTAAACAGGCAGAAAAGCTTGTGGAAAGGGAGCTCTCATTAAAACTAACTGCACTTTTTTTTAGGAGTTTGAAAGAATATGAACTCCGAGTCAAAAACGCTGTTTTCAATTCTGCAGCTCAGAACTTGAAGAAAAACTAGGTTTTCTAGATGCTGGGAGCCAACAGTATCTTCATAGATACTGTATATATTAGTAACACAAGATAAAAGTGCCGATAGGGTTTTAGGGTGCTCTAGAGATTATGACCCTAACTTTAGCCAGGGCTAACACTTCCCCCATAGGGAGTTGTAGAGTATTTCTGAGCAATTATGCTACACTCTTATTGACAAATATCTCATTTCCTTTATGGCTATTATTACCAGCTGCCAGCACTGTGCCATTCTCACCAGTTCCTACTTCTACCCTCTTGTTGCACAGACACTCCACTAGATGGAGATATTCTATCATATCTAGGGAGGGGAAAAAAGTGCCGTAGCTCCTACCATTATGAGCAACCCTCTCTGCTTTGGCAGAGGTTAAATCTCTGCCAGAAGGGAAGGGGAACACGGACTTTTTTTTTCCCCACAACATTTAATTACAGGCACCCAACCAAGCCTAGATTAGGAGGAGGTTGGTCAGTGCAGCTAGGCAGACATGCTGCAGGTGGGGATGGTGGGTGTTTTAGATCTCACTCAGGTAGTGAGATGCTCCTCTGAATCACCACCTGCCCATGCCTTTCCCCAGTCTCCACTTGGGATATATCACTCCTGACTTCAAACCACAGGGATATCCTCCGTAGGTCATTTCAGGTACTACAATCTGAGCTTTTTACCCAAAGTAGAAATCTAATTTCACTTCTTGGGAGTTTAAAAAAAAAAAAAGAAAGAAAAGAAAAAGCACCCTCAGTAAATCCCAGACAAACTTTTTATGTATCTTCATCACTAGCAGCACTGACTATTAAAAAGGCTACTTTGATGTCCTTTCTGACATAAGGGAAGAGATGAAGCTCTCTCATAGGAAAGCTGCTTTTGTGCAATCCCAGCCTGGCTGTAAATACTCAGGCAGTTGTGGTTAGGTCTAGTGTTTCTAAGTGGACAGAAAGGATTTTGATGCACATTGAGCTTTTATAATCCTACAGGAAAATCAGGCTGCTTGATTTTTTTCCCTCTCAGAGAGCCTTCCTCCTGACAGTAACTACCTGCATTAAAATGCATACACTGCGAGCAGGCACAAATGGGGGTGGATCTCTGTCCCACAGACTCCAAATACCCATTCTCTGCAAGTCTGTATGAGCACCCTGCACTTCAATTGAAACGGCTAAGGAGTTTGCAACGTGTGGAATTTGTACTTGTTTCAACTGAAGTTTGTGCAAGGTTAGGAAAGCAGTAGGCAACATGAGGAAAAAAGAAAAAAAAAGGATAATAGCTTTAAAAAACTGTCGTTTTTTTCCCCCAAGTGCTAATTTAGAAGTAGAGAGGTTTTTAAACTGCTGCTCTCTTTACAAGTCTTAACTGAAGTTTTTGTACTTTCATCTACATCAAAGCTCTTCAGCTTCATGACTTCATGAAATATTCCAGAGAATTACTTTTTTTTTTTTTTTTTTTTTTAAAAAAACGTTAATGTACACCGAGCCAACTCCAACCCTGGAGTTCTTCTATTAAAATTAACAGGAGTTGCACCAGGGATGAATTTGCCTCATTGTCACGTAGTATAAAAAAATAAAAATTGGAAAAAATATCACAAGGCCTCTACAAAGCTATATACTTGATTGTTAACCCATTTTTACTTCTATATGATAGCAATACTGAACACATGATAGCGCCTTCAACTTTACATCTCAGCCAGGAATTAGAAGATTTTCTGATTTAGGTCAGTAGCACAGTAATATTTAGATGCTATTTTTAAATTGCTAAGTGACTTTTCTATGAGCAGTTGACAAAATTAATTTTAAGTCAATGATTTCCAGGGTTAAAGTGTGGTTTTCATACAAAGCACAATTGTACAATGGTGCATTTATACTTAATAGGACTTCCTATCAAGTTCACACCGTATCACCTTTCTTTAAAAGAAAAAGACGTTAAAGCTTTTAACCCCATGTTGACATGTAAGTCTGGGTCACATTTCATCCCATGGATCAGATTCTCTCAGCTTGCTCCTGTGCAAAGATATTTGCAGCAGACTGCAAGGAGTGTTAGTACAAGCCCTTGTTACTAGTGGTAAAGCACAGAGCTGGTGCTCTCAGCTCCAGATGTGAGTTCACCCCAAAACGTAAGCAGTGAACCACACAACCTAGCACTTGCACATATGTTGAGGTAAAACTGCATTTGCCTAATTTTTTAATGATAAATCAATTAGAAGAAAGAGACAAGTAAGCATGAAGACTAAAATATCTTGAATAGGCCACATCATATTTTAAAATAATATCAACAAATATATTTATGAATCTGGTAAGTTTAAAAATACTAAAAAGCACATTCCCAAGCTTAAAACTTACGAGCTGTTAAGTATTTGAAATTTTTCTCCTTTGTGAAAACTTAAGTCATCTTCTGTTCTTGCTTCATAGTCATAAAGTGCCACAAAAAGAGTTACACCTGAAGAAGAACAAACATGAGTTACACTCCAACACAGAAAACAGCAGCAAAAGGAACCTCAGGGATCAGGTGGCTAAGCTAAACTTAAGCCACACAAGTGGCTGAGGAGTGAACTGAACTGAAAGTTATTTTTTGGACAACCCTTCTACTCACTGCGCTTTTTGGCAGTGGGCACACTACCCCCTTCACTTTCTACATTCATCAGCCCTTTGGGTTTGGTACCCACACAAAAGAGAAAGATCCTCTGTGGGTGAAGGAGGTCTAACATCCAGAGAAGGAGTTTAGATGTATCCACGCCAAATGTTTCCTGTTAACTACTCTAGACGATTTCCTGCTTCAGCCACACACCTCTTTCATTCCCCAGCTGAGGCATGAGGCAGGAAGGCAGACAAACTGGGCATGTCCCAAAGTGACCTAGCATTTACAGGTTAGCACAGTTTTAAAGAACGTGCTGAGACAGCTGTGTCCCCTCACCAGTCCCTGTTGTAATACAGCTAGTTAAGTGCACTGAAACAAGGCTTTGAAGCTCACCTGTTCCTCCTCTTGTTCGCAGCGTCCCTGTGTGAGAGGAGGAATTGACTCCACCAAACACTGTCAATCCTTGGCCTCCTGTGGCATGGAAGTTGTTGTAGTTTGGAATTGAAGTCACGCCAAAGCTAGGATAATGCTGTGGAGTGGGATCTGTCCCATAGCGGTAGCCTGAGCTTTGAGTTAAACTGCCATCCCTCTCGTCAGTCAGTTTTGTTGCTTCTTTATCCTTACATTGCACACAGCCCATTATCTAAAATCCTAGAAGAGCAAGGAAAGGACAGGTGCTCATTCGTTTATGCGCAGCAGATCTCCCTGTAGCCCACATATGATGAGGATCAAATTAAGCTCAATGCTCGAAAGCCAACTATTTGGAAAAAAAAAAATCTCTGCTTTTGAAGATAAACAGCAACATGCTGGGAAAGCTCGTGCAAAATTCTTGCCCACAGTGGCTTCCCACCAGGGCCTGTGAAGGAGCTCCTACCTGCTCTGACTGCAGCAGCAGCTGTCTGACCAGCCCTGCCAAAAAATTTCTTGCATGGAGGCAGCAAGAGGAAGAAAACTTTCTCACTCACCCTTTGCCAGGAGAGCACCTCTCACAGAGGAAGATCACCGCCAAAAAGCACAACTACAAGTATTCAAGTCTGGCTCCGAAACACATAACAAGACATATAACTCACGGTCTCATTTTTGCCATTGCCAGCTACACAATAGCTGCCATTGACTTCGTGTTAGGGTGATACCTTGCTGGAGCCTTATGTGACAGACAGAGATGCAGATAGAGCTGAGCAGATAATTACCACTGTAGAGGAAAGCAGTAGACAACAGACAGAGCACTTAAAAGAAAGTGCTATTTCACACTGAAATATATAACCTGCTGATACTGGAGGGTGGGATAGCCAAAAGGATAAATGCGTCAAGAAACTAGACAAAGCCACGGAGGAATGAACATGTTAAATCCAAACAGCCTTAAAATCCAAATCCCTGATAAAATGAAATTGAGAGAATTGCATTCTGGAAACACTAGCTCTAAGATATATATAACTTATATATACCTTACAATATATATTTATAACCTCTTGTTAAACATCCTCACTGGCCACTGGTTTGGATTAATCTCTTTTAATTCTAGCTGCATAAAAGCTAAGAACCTATATTCTCAATAGTGGAGCAAGACAGAGGGTGCTTCATCATATGTCAGAAAAAGTCCTCGGAGCTTCCTGCATTTATCTAGTACAAATTTTCATTGCTGAGCTCTAGTATCTTAGCAGTTGCACACTAGTGTTATCAAACTCTCTCCACGGACTCTAGATGAGCCTAGAAAAAAAAAAAAAAGTTTCTGAAGTCAAGTGTTATGATATATCTCTGGATGGACCCTTTATCTGATCCAATATGATAAATCTTACATGTAACCTGGAATAGAAACAATATACTCCAGGCACAGGGTTACAAAAAAGAAAAATGACAACAGAAAAATAAAGATTAAAAAAAAACCCAAAAAAGTGAAAGAAAGTGGGACACAGAAAAAAAAAAGTATAGTAAGGTATGCAACTATTTTTTCATATTTTTTTCACATTTCCATGAATATCGTCCACTTAGGATAAATAAAAAAGGACATCCGTTTGCAAATACCCTCATTTTTCTGAAGCTGCCAGACTGGCTATTTTGCATGTCTTACCCCAGCATCAACACAGGAAATTGCTTTTGACAAACTCAGGGGATTCTGAAAAAGCGTATTCCACTGCTGCAAATGCCTGGGAAATTATGCAGTAGCTGTTTGCCTGTGACAGCTCACAATACAGATACCTGCTTCTTATATCTAGCCTGCCTAATTATAAAACCCCTTCTGTTCAAGGGTATTTTCCACAATTTGAAGACAGTGCCAGCGTGTTCAGAAAAGCAACAGCACTTGAATACACGTTCGTGAGCCGCCCTGCTCGACCAGTCCTGTCTGCAGTCAGTGCACGTCCTACCGCTTCCTCCTCTCAGCGCAGAGCTGCCCTTTCTTTATTTCCTCCAGGACAGCGTGTTGCCTCCATGGAGCCCCCGCACAAAAACCTGGGGAATCTCTTGACGTGAGTGGGAAGGGACGAAGCAGAAACAAGGGCTCCCCATGCCATGTTTGCCAGTACAGGCAGCGCGCCCATGTCCTCGCAGATACTGAAGTGCAGGAAGGGCTACGCAAAAGGCTGTTTGCAGTGGCCAGCAGCCAGGAGAGCATGAAGCGCCGGGGCTGCCATGGGGCTGCTGCAGTGCCAGGAGGCCCTGCATGGGCATCCGAGGCCACTCGGCCTCGTAGCATCACTGGGAGAGCCCCACAAGACCTACACGGGGTGTAGAAGTGCCCAGTTTAAATTAGAAGTGAAAAACTGGTGCTTGCGCTGCCCTTTTTTGGAAAGCAGAGTGCTCAGGCCCTGCAGACCCTCTCTTCAATGACTTAGGTAAAGATCGGACCTTTCCAGGCTCCTCTAGGGGCCAGGAGTTGGATGGGCAGCATCAGGGAGCGAGACAGAGCAATGCAATCGGGAAGGCCCCCGCGGCACGAGGGCCTGAGTGCGCCCAGGGGGCCCCGCGTGGCATTTTGGTGCGGCTGCCGCACCGGGACCCATTCAAGGCTGCGCCTCCAGCGGCCATGGCATAGGGACAGGCTCCGCGGGCAGCAGCACAGAGGTGCCGGCAGCTTCAATGGAGACAAGGGAGCCACCGGAGAAAGAGGATTTGCAGTTGTCAGTGCTGGAACGTGCACGTGTGTGCCTCAAAATGGCAGAGCCACAGGCGGGCTTTGGAATCACAGCAGTTATTCTGCTGGCTCTAAATGGAGCCTCCCTGTGAAATGCCATCACCGCCCTTCCCTGCCCCACACGGCTCCTTCGTTGAGTTTTTCCCCTGTGTTTCCACTAGGAAAAAAAAAATAGAAAGCCAAATGAAGGAAAAGAAAGAAAAGAAAGAAAAGGGAAATGTGAAATTGTGGGCGTGGGAGTGATGACAGAAGAGGTTTTCTTCTTACGGCTGCTGCTTTTGCAGACATGAAGAAAATATATATATATATATATATATGAGGGAAGTATTTTTCATGGAGCTTTGCTGTTCATTCACAAACCTCCAGCTGCATAGGGAAGAAAATCTCCACTGGCATCTGGGAAGATTTCAGGTATCTAGTTACAAGTGCTGACAAGCCAGCCCGACACACTTCATTTACACATTTGAGTAAATTGATGAGGAAAAAGTTAGAACTACAGATCACCTGCCAAAGAAAATCTTTCAAAGTGTTAATTCTGGAAACAAAAAGCAACGTGAGTTAACCAGGAGACGCGCACTGGTAGTGCCAGTAAAATAATGGTTGGGGGGGAGCGCTTCTCTTTCTAGAAGGATGATATGAATTGAGACCCACTGAATCATCAACTTGGGATTTCTAGTTTGCTTTTTGTTCCCATTATCTTTTTGTTGGCCCTGGCAGTGTAGAGGGAAGAGACCTTGATGCACAGTGAGTGACTGTCAGAGGGCTTTTTTCTTCCACTTTGCCCTTTTCCACTTTGTTACAGTGTTGAGACAACCCAAGGATAAAGATGGCTTGATCGGAGCCTCCTGCAAAATGTGACAGTGTGTTGCACGCATGCATCTTTTCAAGCCAAGACCTTGCAAGTTGTCGTTTCCTGGCTCAAACACACTAGCTAGGAAAGTCAGGGATCTTGCTAAATGTGGGAGAATACACGTGTGCATGTATAGGCTTGAGCTAACTTAGGGTTTTCACAGACAGTAAATATAACCTCCAGTCAGCATCACTCTTTGTATCCATGAATGGATTCCAAAAACTAATCTCCTTCAGTATATCACCAAGCAGGCAGTTCATATCCTAAAGTCTCACCACACTGAATGTCAACGACTGCAGTTTTGGAAGGCTGGAGTTACTCAGGCAGCTCTGAGATCACTAAACAAAATCTGGAACTATTTTACACCGAATTCTCTAGAGAGGAGCACACAGCGTTGTTCATCCAACAGGCTACGTAACTTACTGTAAAGGAACAAGATTTTATTAAGTTTCCATCAGGACAGGCAGTATTTCTAAGATATACGAGTTATGGGTCATGCAGCATTATAGTTTGTCACTAGTATTGCTAGAAATTACATAAGTAGCTCAACTAAAATGAACTTTTCTAATGCAAACAAGTTGCGTTTGTTTATTTTAAAGATGTGCTTTTATGGGCAATGTAAAACATGTGTTTTCATGAAAATATAAAACATTTACATGCTATAGTTTATAAGACTTCCGTAGAGATAAATGAAAAAAAAATGTTAGTTGTCTCATTTCTTTCCTTTGTTATATTTATTGGACTCTAACAAATTACTTTGCAGGCAATTCAACATCAGACTAGCAGTTTCCCTCCACACAGTGGAAACACTATTGGATGAAGATAGAAAATTAGCTATTACATTATTATTATTTATTTATACAACCATAGCACCTACAAAGATGTTATTAATACTATTAGTATTAACATTAGTCACCTCCACTTTTTCTAGAGGGTGGCTGGTTCTCAATACAAAAATTGCTGAAATGTCAGCAAACAACAGACACACACTTCATTAACAGAAACAAAGCAAGATTTCTGATAGCTCATAGACATCCAGGAAAAATAGAGGAGTCCTAATAAAGAGTATTTTTTAATTTTAAAATGATATGTGATATTTGAAAAGCAGAAAGTATTGATAAGCCATGACCTTCTCCTGCTTCTGCAGTTATAAACCACTGGGAAAAGATAGGAGGCAGGATAACCGCTGTAAATTTGCCCCTTGGCAGCATTAGTTATTTCTACATGGAGCTTTACAAAGATTTTTCCAGATTGTGATTTTTGAGTGCGTTAGAAGAAAGTGCATGTCTTACAACTCAGGAAGGGACACAGGAAGATGCAAGGAAACACGTACTTGTGTCTTCCTATCTATGCCATAGCTCTTATCCTCCAACCCTTTGCCTAGTGATGGACATTACTGTAGAAGAGAGCTTTAATCTGTAGAAGAGACATGCAGCAACTTCACATCCAGCAGGGGTGCATTCTTCTTCCTCTCTAAAGTTTTCTTTGGAATGAAATTCTGTATACTTTTAGGAGAACTTCTTTCAGAGAAGGAGATGAAAGGGCGAGACTGGATGAATGGTAACTGTCAACTATCTTCTTCTGACCAAATCTTACAAATTGACATGAAAGTACCACCAGCAGGAAAGCTGAGTTAAAAAAACAGTTATGTTAAAAAGGAATCAGAAGAAC